TTGCTTTATCAACCACAGAGGCCGAGTATGTAGCTGCCACAGAAGCTGTGAAGGAAGCTTTGTGGCTTAAGGGACTATTATCTAAAATTAGGATGTTAAATGATCATGTAGTTGTTTATTCAGATAGCCAAAGTGCAATACACTTGTGTAAGAATCCTGTTTTTCATGAAAGAACTAAACACATAGATGTAAAGTTACATTTTATTAGAGATATTGTCTCAAATGAATCTGTTCTTCTTGAAAAAATTCCTACACAGTACAATCCATCAGACATGGGGACAAAGGTATTGCCTCTTTCTAAGTTTAAATCATGTTTGGCACTTTTGAATATTGATACAGGTTAATTCTTTAAATGCAGGTACAAACTTGGTGTCAATAGGAGGGCTGCAAGTGTTCAGAAATCCCATTGGCATCAAGGTGGAGGTTGTTGGGCTGTGATAACAAATGGGCTAAAGCCCAAATAACTGTTTTAATATTCTAGGCTCTTGCCCAATAACTCGACCCTGATATGCCCCGGCCCAAAGGTAGATAAAAACGTGTTTTTTGGCGTGGCGTTTTTAACGCAGCCAATAAACACGTTTTCTTCAGATTACTGAAAGCCCCCTGATCGTTGGATTAAAATCTGATCTATGGCTGCCTTGGTTGGATATATATACTTCCACCTCTTGCCCTAATTCAGCAGGACCGTCATTTGACTCCTCTATTCAGCTGCAGCTGTGCTTCGAGATCCTTCCAAACCCTTCCTTCTTCGTGACCATCCAATCTCTGATTGGATCTGAAATCTGAGTGATTCTTTCTTTGTGATACTAAATACTAAGTGTATTGGAGGGATTGGTGTGTGATTTACCCTTGTGGTTTCCTTTAATCTGATAGAGGAAAACCTTAGGGTTTGGGTCGATCGGTGTGGATCATACAAACGGGTACAATCTTGTATTTTCTTGAGTCTGAGCCCCATAGATGAAAGGACCTTCATCTGGAGGCCGTGTGGTTCGAGTTTCAGTGAATGGCTGAGGATTTGTTCTTCTGCCATTTTTCTTGTAATATTTTTCTTGTTTATTTTCTGGTTTTGTACTGATATCTTGGTGTAACAAATAGACTAAAGGGCTCGATGGAAAGAAAGGTTGGAATGGGATGTTGGAGGAGGAAATGAGAGAAATAAGTTGTGCTATAAGAAATAAAGACGAAGTAGACTACTTGAGGTTGGGAGGAAAAGCCTTGAAACTGAACAAATTTCTAGCCATTGGTGGTCCTGTGCTAACAGGATTAGCAGCACTTGGCTCCGCCTTTGTGGGGTCTCCTAATCACGGCTCTTGGGAGGTGGTGCTTGGAGTTGTTGCTGGTGCTTTAGCAAGTGTAGTAAACACAATTGAGCACGGTGGGCAAGTCGGAATGGTGTTCGAGATGTACCGAAGCAATGCCGGATTCTTCAAGCTGATGGAAGAGTCCATAGAATCAAACTTGATTGGAAAAGATATGGAGACAAGAGAAAATGGAGAATTGTTTGAAATGAAGGTGGCGTTGCAATTGGGAAGGAGCCTGTCGCAGTTGAGAGATCTTGCAAATTCTTCTTCCGGCAATGCAGAGGAGGAAATCGAGGAATTTGCAAGCAAGCTATTCTAGTGATGATGAGCTCGTTTGGATATTAATTGTTTTGTGGATATAAGACATGTAAATGTTAACGGTGACATGATATTAATTTGTAAATTTCTCGACAAACCGAGAAAAACAATTCTTTTATTAGTTGTATATCAAAAAGAGAAAAAAAAATTTATTTAGTTGACACTATTATGTCCTAAGTTTGAAAAATTCACAAATTCATCGTAGTCACTGTAAACATATACAAAAACGTTCCCAACATATTCTTGATTTCTTGGATTCCGTAAACACATTCCAAAAGCATCCCAACATACAAATATATTTCGTTCGCTTGGAACAGGAATTCACATAATATTTGTACTATTTGTGATTTTCTCATATTTATTGTTTTGTCGTCAAATGTGAATTTGTGAAGATGTTGCAAAGAATGAAATGCTTTTATCGTCTTTATTTTTTATTTTTCTCTTTTAATACTATTATTACCAAACATATTATATTAAAACTACTGTAATTTATTATTTTGTTTTTATGTCAAAAGCATTTCGTTAATGACTCATCTCATTAATAGTTATGAAAAATAGAAACAATTTGATTATTCAACTAATGCAGAATTAACTAAGATTCACGATCAAGCTAACTGTGTAAACTGGAGAACATTGCTGTATTCGCATTTTAGCTTGTAGATCCATTTTGACAATTATTTAAAACATAAACATAAACATAAACATAAACATATATAAAATACAACAATTTGATTTTATTTTACAATTATTCTTAACTCCTTGCGATTCATGAGATCCTTTATTTTTTAACCCTTTACTTTTGCACACGCCATAGGGCTTTTATTATTTGTTTCTCATTAAACTATTTAAATAAATCTTAACCGTGTAAATGATAAAATATAGAATTTTCACATTTTGATATTTGGCTATGTATTTTTTTTTTTTTTTTGAAATTATCAATGAACATATATGTAATACACATAAATTTGGAGATTTATATTATTATTCTATGTTCCTTGTGACTCTTGGAAATATATACAAACTTCAACGTCTTAGAAGTGTGTCATGTATACAAATAACATTTGTAATTTATTAAATTAACATGACTCATTAATTGACAAAAATTTTCATTTCGACTAATTCAATTTGATAATCTCACAAAATTATTTCATATATAAAACATCAACTAGGAGAAGGAGATTATCACCTAAGTTCTGACTCTGATTTTTTTTTTCTATTTGGTTTTTCATAATAATAATGAGAAAAAAACTCAATCCCATGAATAAATATGGAGATTTGAAAAATATATTCAAAATTCGACCCGTTAAAATTAATTTGACAACTTGCATGGACCTATCCTTATAACTAATTCATCCAATTATGCATGGCCATATGTCGCTACTATTTGGACTAATTTAGGTCAATACTTTAACCAAATTATAATTGTACATTAAATGGTTATGGTCAATAATTTAACCAAATTATAATTTTTACATTTAATGGTTATCTTGAATAGTTAATAAACCTGTCAAATAATAGAATGGTCAAGACCGAAGAGAATTAAAAATTGAGGTCTAATTTACTTATTTGTCCATTTGGCTGTTAGATTGTTTAGTATTCCCTCTGAGGGCCAAGTCAAATTCTAGCAGCCAAAATTAAGAGTGTGAGACTGAAAAAAATGAAGAAACGATCTTTGCCATTAACCAATTCAAACGCTATAAAATTTTAATTTTTCGGTATACGAAATATATATGCAGCAATATATGTTGAATATTGTTCAACAATGAATAAAATCTGCACGTTGACAGTATTGCATCTTTGTAAGCGCTTCAAGCTATTTATTTATCCCAGCGGTGGTAGTAATGGCTTTTTCAAGCTTAATTTGTGAATAGCTTGTTTCTTACCTCAGAAAAGAAAAGATTGAAATTATGTCCTGACATTCAATTTGTCACCGTCCATGATGTGAAAAGGATAAAACCAATAAAATTACTTTTAAGCAACTTATTTCGTCAATGATTTTAGAAGTTACCCTTTGATTTTTAGTTCAAAAACTTTCATTTTTTAAAAGTAAATTTACTTTTGACAAAAGTATGTTCTCTCTTTTGAGGCCCAACCAAACCTGATCTGGAGTTGTGACACTAGCATTCTGCAATCTCGAATGAAGCATTCCTCTTCTTAGTCAAGGATTCTTTTTATTTTAAAAAGAAGTATAAACCAAGTAATCTATAATATATTTAGAGTCCCATACCTTCTGATATAAAAAAAATTATACATAGATGAGAATCATTTTGTGGATAATTTCATCAAAATTATATTTCTATTTGGTACTTTTTTAGTTTTGATTTTATTATTCAACTTCATTCATTGATTTTTCATAGATATAGTCATTGATCACACATTGTATTTACGAGATATATTTGATGTTTTCGAAGTCGTGTGTCCGACGAAAGGAGAACATATAAATACAATTTTATTGAGATTTATCTTATAAGTTAAAATCACTATAAATTGCCATAGTTAATTTTCTATGAAATGAAGGACGGGTGACAGTCAAAAGCATTTCGGACGGCGTATCTTTTGCAAAGGAGAATTTTATTCATATAGGAGAGAGGGTGACAAAAGGGTAGCAACGAGCTTCATACGTTTCAAAGCACGGTGTCTAGATAAGAGCGAGAGGATTACGAAAGATTTCTTTCAATTCTAGAAGCTAAAAAAAGTACGAGGATTGCACTGAGAATAAAGGAACACGTCACGGGAAGGGAGGAATACATTGAATCTAAAAAATGTGAAATTATAATTTGGTGAAATTATTGACCTAAATCATAAATAAACACAAATTTATTGAGGTTTATGTAAAAGGTTCTCATAATCGCTATAAATTGTTAGTTAATTTTTCAAGAAATTAGAGATGGGTGGCATTTGAAAGCATTTTCAGACGGCATATCTTTTGTTGCGGGGAACTCTCTTCCTATAGGAGAACATTAGGTTTGGTGGCACTTGATGATATGTTAAACGAAATGTGAAATTAAATGAATTATTTAATTCTACTTATCAACAAATTCTACAATAGCGTCACCTAAATTGAGGTTGCAGTTCCAGTGAGGTTAAATAGCATTCTCCTAGTGTAAAGGGAAAAAAATTGGGTACTTGTTAGGCTGGTCCACGTGCTTTCAACATCTTTATTGGGCTAGTATCTTGAAAGAAGGTCAGTCGAACTGATTTATGGATGACGTCCACATAGAAAAGCTTTAAAGACTCAATAAGCCACCTTCTCCGGTCTATATACTTCAGTCGCCCTAATTTAACATGTGATAAATGTGAGACCATAATCCTGGCAGCTTGGCTCTGTCAACTATATGGTAACAAAGAAAAACTTCTACAATGAACCTAACTTTGAGAGGGTGACATTTGACCTAACTTTAAGACGATATGGATATTGGGAAGCTTAAGATTTAGTTTCTATTTGGTGGGGATTGAAATTAGATTTATGGTATATTTTGATAAAAGTTGATAAAATATGTGGTTGAAAATCCGTGGGACCTATAAAATATGTTATTAAACTTAATTATTGATTTTAATTTAAATTAAAATCTAGATTTTTTTAATCGGTATCAAACAAGGGCTTAAAAAAATAAAATCTATAATTCACATACTCTCGGTATCATATGGCATGAACAATGTTTTGTTAGGTATACCATTTTTATGTTTCATTATATACCCTTTGGGGGGTGTTTGGCTGTTTCAAAATATTTCAACGCCCTGAGTTGAAAGTCAATTCAAGCATCCAAAACATAGGAGTGAGACTGAAGAAAATGTCAGATTTCTTGCCATTAACCGATTCAAACTAAACAATCAAACGCTGAAAAATATTTTCATTTGCAGTCTATGATTTTATGTCAGCTACCCACTTAGATATATATGCGCAGCAAACTACACAATTCTTCATCAGAAAACATCTCCCAAAAACAAGAAAAATCCAAGAAATAGAATATTCACACGGCCATATATCGAAGCTCAAGAAAAGATTATACTGTCGTAAAAGAAATGGCCTCCCCACAAACTTCAAGCAACGTGTGTTCATCCAAGGCCATATATCGAAGCTCAAGAAAAGATTATACTGTCGTAAAAGAAATGGCCTCCCCACAAACTTCAAACAACGTGTGTTCATCCAGTTCTTCATCCTGGAGTCGAAGAGGACGAATTATCACGGCTACCATTAATGTTCCGAGGAGATTAACAAATATTTCTCTTCCTGGGCTAAAAACAAAGGGATGGGAGAGGAACTTGACTTACACAATTGCACTGACAGAAAACGTAGCCCTATCGATGTCAATATGTTTAAAAGAAATGATAATAACGGTCATGATCCATTGGTAATGGCAAAACTCTATGCAATCCTGGAGGCTGTTGCAGATAGGGTGGAGATGTACAAGAATATTGGAGAGCAAAGAAATAATTGGAACAGCCTGCTTTTGACATCGATTAATGCGCTCACACTCTCGGTGGCTGCAATGGCAGGAATTGCGGCTACAAGTGTAATTGGTGGTGCTGCTCCGGTGGCGGCGTTAAAGCTTTCGTCCACCATCATGTATCTTTCAGCAATTGGGATGCTGTCCATAATGAACAAGATTCAACCATCTCAGCTTGCTGAGGAGCAAAGAAATGCAACTAGGTTGCTCAAGCAGCTTCACAATCAGATTCAGACGATAATAGCGATGGGTAATCCTACAACTAGTGATGTAAAGGAAATGATGGAAAAAGTGTTGGCTCTTGACAAGGCCTACCCGCTTCCTCTTCTTGGTGCAATGCT